GTAAAAATCGTTGGACGTCATTCCACATGCAATTTGCCATCGTTGATTAAATCCAACAAAAGTCTAGATTTAAAAGAAAAAAAACAAGTAATAATTAGCAGCGATATTCATAAAACAGAGATTAAACTGACCGTCATATCAATATGACATTCTGTTCGAATATAACAATAGAAATGTTGAAGACGAGGCATGAACTGATCAATAATCATTTCAATTTGATGACCCTGCACAAATATATAATCAGGATGGATCCAATTTTTTATATCGATTATCAATGTATCGATTTGACTAAGAAATTTGACAATGTTGAACAAATATTCAGATCTCATTTCTACTTCTTGTTTCGTAGTCAATAGAAATTTTGTTAAATGAACCATTGGAAAAATATTCGATTTGAATGGTAATAATAATCGACGACTGGCATGACCAGTGCACAAAGTGACATCAAGTTCAATCAAATTAGCTACAAGACCATCAAGTAGAACGAAAAGATCGTCGATGGTTCGTAATGAAATAGTTAATCGTTTGAGAAGCAAATTTGAATGTAATTGTTTATCAAGAATCATCCCATCGTTTACCATCAATTTAATTTCAGTAAGTTTAGTGAATTTCATATCAAAAACTATCTCACGAAGTACTTCATGTGTTAAATGGGCCATTGGATAAATGTTTTTCGACATACTTTCAACTAGACAAAATGATTGTAAAGAAGAAAATAGGTTAACATACCAGTTGATCATTCCCATTTCGCACTGATTACAATCGATCAATGATAGTTGATGAACATGTGTATAATAAGAAGATTTCATTGTTGTTAATTTTGGTGAAAAGAAAGTTCTAATTTGATTTGGAATCATTTTATTGCTAACTATTAGTGATGATGGTAAAATTCGTCGAATGAGAAATTCAGTAAAAACATATTGCATATCCGTATAAGAATACTTTGTTAAATTGATTCGTGTATAATAATCAGAAATACACATCGAATAACGGTAGCCTAATTTAAGAAAAGCATTCAACACATCGGTTGGTTTTAGATAGCGACAAATGATGAGTAAAAGTTCATTAGGTAAATCGTCAAAACGAGTTATCTGTCTATGATTTAATTGTTCAGAAACTATCGTTTGTTGCTCTATAAAGGACAAAATATATATGTGATGATTAAATATTTTCGAATGTACTTACTTTTGAAACATGGCTTAGTATCTTCGGGAACGATCATGATTGAATGGCGTTTGTTATCAAACAATCAACAACATGCGCAAATAGATACAAAGTATATATATCAGAAATTCTGCATATATTCGTATATATATATATATAATACTCGTGACGATCGTATCGGACGGTTATGATTTGCTCTAACACTCTCACTAGTCAGGATATTCTTCTCAGGCAGCGTTAGCAAAGAAAAGTCAATTATATGTTTGATGATCAATGCATTTATACGCTACTGACTAATTCAAATAAATAAATATATATATATCTATTGTCTCTATTTGATAGGCATGTTGTCAAAAAGTATCATTGGTTTTTATCATAATTCATTTTTGAATACATTTTAAGTCCAAATAATTCTAGTTGATGAGATAGAAAAAAGTCTTTAAGCAATATGCATGAATTCGCTGAAGTTAATTGTTTTCAACGACACACGATTGAATTAGATCCATCCTGCAAGTTGATCAATGGCTGTTTGAAGTTTGAACCATAATGAAACTAAATGTGCATGATCGAAGATTGAGAAAATGATGTCAATTGAATAGAGATGCAACAATATTTCGTCGAACAATAATTCTATCGTCAACTTTCAGTGAAACAACTTGATGAGAATGAGAATTCAAGTAACTGGATAGAAAATCAACTTGATGACGATAATGATTACAAGAAATATATACATGAATATTAACTGAGTTTAGAATTGATGAAATACATGAATTGAGGAAAGCGAATGCAAATAAGAATTCAACGGCATGTAAATAGTCGAATATCTCGAAAAATATCTCGTCTGACAAATCTTCCAGTCGAGTAGACGTGAATGCAGGTACGCTACCAAATATGAACCACACCCACACCCACACCCACATCCCAAAATGCAATTGTCCCGCATTTTTTAAGAATTATATATGCAAACATGTTGTTGGTATGGCTATTAGTTTGAAATATTGCAAACCACCAGCAGTAGCAAAAACCGTGCCGATCGGTGAGAAAAGAAAACGAGGAAGGCCAGCAAAGGCTAAACCTGCTTTGCTAGTACAATAGTTCAATTTTCATTTTTTTCCATTCATTCTTTGAATTTCTATTTCTATTTAATGTTCTTTTGGATTTCTTCTTATTTCTTCTGTGTTTTTTTTTATTTATTTAAATTTATTTTTCTTATACTAAATTAATCTTTATATGAATAACACTTATTTCTTCTGCTGATAAAATCTGCATTTTTACTGATAAATTTGAATTTTTTACTGACACTTATATATAAAAAGCTGACCATTTTATAATTAATTACCGATCATTTTAGTACTGACCGTTTGTATATTTTTTTGCTGACCATTTCATTAATTTTACTAATCAAAAATTATGTTCCCTTTAGAATTGATATTTATGCAACAGACGTTTTAAATTTTTCACTAAGAATTTTAAGTTTCGTGTTAGAACTCGTTTAGTTGGGGATTAAAATGCATACATATATGTATACTAATGCTATATTAAGAGAAAATTTCCAACATATATTAAGGTTCCCCATATGGTCGAAAGACGTCTAAAGGAAAGAAAAAACCTTTTTTGAACAAAATATATAATCATGTATAAACGTTATATATTAAAAAACTTTTTTGAGTTATTTTCGTCAAAAGTATAAGAAGAATCTGTCGTTTATTTGTAAGATGTGTACATACTGATATAATTCTTGTTCTAACTGAAGGATCGTTTTTCAATAACGATGCAATAAATGTCATCGGAATGTCTAATGATGTGAAACGAAAATAGTTACATTCGTTTGCTACCTCTTTTTAATTTGTCATTAAATCTGTTATTCTCGATATACATCAATTAAATCCTGACAGACAACACCGATCGAACTAATGCTTGACTAAAATATGGAGATAGAAGGAAGTAAATCGTTACCATCTTATTCTAGTTAATTGAATGGAATTATTTTTGATGAATATCCATTATATAAATGTAACATTCCATCGACAATTATTTTGTCAAAAAACTTGATGCATTTTCGTCACGTACTGATCTCTTAGGAGAATTGAAGCGCATTCATCGAATTCTTTTTTAGTTTGCAAAAAAGCACATTTCTTACAACTTACACGACAATCAAACCATGTTCCATTGATAACAAACTATAGCTGAACGTTTCATGATACAACTGTTATTTCCATTTTTGTAAGAAATAAAGTTATGTTCCAGATATGATCAAGACAATAAGGCTCTTTTTAGTCTGTTTTTGCCAAAAAAAAACGCTTCATTTTGGTTGACGACTATCAATTATTCTTGTCATTATTCTAAACGCACGATATACGTTGTTAGAGAATATATAACAATCTCTAAAAAAGTTTCCAAAAAGAAAGAAGATGCGTTGATCTGCAATCGAGAAATCTTCTGTTCAACTTTGACCAAACATGGTTCTTTTTAGTTAGACAGACCGTAAACCGAAACAAGGTCAAACTACCTGTACTGGTTCACCAATTTCCGAAAGATATGTTATTACATGATGGATTCCTGATGGTTATGGTACATATATTCTACAACAATATATTGAACCAGTACGAAATGGAACGGAAATTGATCTTGGGCCTCCTATACCCGATTGATATGCTGCTGTTCGTATTAATCTAAATGATTGTGGTGGTTCTGAACAATATATTTAGCTTGTTTCTGTTGGATGCTAAAGTGATCAACTTAATCAAGATGATACTGAATAATATTTACCTTTCATTATTTGTATTACTTTATTGATAATAAACTAAATGATGTTAAAAAGACGAAAACAAAAAAAAATCTTTTGTTTCTTGTCGATATATTTGATACTTAATGGGTCGTTGATCTTCCTTTAATTGGAATACGATTGAAATGACTCTCATCTCTCTTTCTCTATCTTATTATTTGATATACTAAAAAAAAGAAACGAAGAATAGAAGAGAAATTAAATTAAAATCATCTTTTATAGTTTATGATATAATAAAGCATGTTTTTAAATGATTTTTTCACATCCGAAGAAATATTAAAATCGCAGAAATTCTTTGCAGTTCATAACTTATGTTTGAGGTTATCGATAGTTGATTCTCTGAAATATCTGTGAACTCAATCTACCACTTGTAATCTACACATGTAGAGAGCTTATCTAATATTTGGGATTTCGAATATCAATTCTGGAAAGTGAAATCGAGTCTACAATAATCAACAACATAAAATAGGATGAATTATGTAATAGATTAGTCTACAATCATACTTTTCGACGTTGTCATAAATATTCTTCTGACCATACAATAAAAAGACAGATGTTATCAAATTGTAAGAATGATTTCGAAGGATTATTATTACTCAGTAGATCTGATATCATTAACATTCGATTTGTTTTAAGATAAAACTATAGAACTTTCTCTGCGGATCATCTTCTATCGTGATTATCTCTCATTTTGGCCACCAAACAAAGCGGCGGTGCTCTCTGCTTTCTACTAATACGTAGATGAATGTAACATAGACTAATCTTTGAATGATAAGATTTGCTTTTTTAGTCAATTTGTCTTTTCAGTGAACAAAGTAAAGATATGAGAAGGATGTGTCTTATAGACAGATAATCTTTTATTTTAAATTGAATTATTCTCAAGATAGGCAATTACATTGAAAAGAATGAGTATAATGATTTAAAAGCGAGTGTAGTTCTGATTGTTGACTTTGGTTACACCAAATAATAATTTTCTTGGTGATGTCCACGCATGAAAACGATAATTGAAAAGAAGCTTTTCATTACCTCGAACTTCAATACGTTCAATAAATCAATCATCACTAAAAAAAGGAATAACTTTTCCACTTCTTGTTAACTTAGCCACAGCTAACATGCTCAATTCATCATCATCATCATTGAAAAAATCTTTTGAACAACAAATTGTATATTCATCGACACTATTTCGTTCACGATCATTACCAATATTATCCAGATCATAGACTTGACAAATAACACCATTACCACTACGAAGTATAAGACTAACATGAGAATTCGTCCCAGCAAATAATTCATCACCTGTCTCTATCTTCACTTGTAATACATCACTATTCTCTTGGCAAACATTCGTAGATTTTGTATTGCATATTACTTCAACGATCATCATGGAAATTATACTCCATCGAAGCACTTTCACTATAAGAAGATCCATAGCTTATCTTGCACATTTTGTATATACCGTGTATATATAAAAGATGGGAAACATATCATCTATATGTCAAAATAGATGTGGCATCAAAAAACTGATATATGATGTCTTCAACTTCGCGCAGTAATTCCACTATCTAATGAAATAAGAGTGCCGAAAGATGTCAAGAACTATGAAAAAAATGCGATGAGATCGATGGAACTTGTCATGAGCTTTGTTTATTTATTCTTGTCATAATAATAATTGAATCGTTGTAACATTTTATCAATTGCGTCTTTATGTCAATTTCTTTTTTTGTAACCAGAAATAAAATAAAATTTCGATAAAAACAATAATAAATGAAATAAGTGTTGTATTGAAAGATGAAAGGTTTTTCTTCTTCATTTAACTTATCCCGTCGTTTTTAAACTAGTGCAGTACAAGCATTCTTTATTTCATTCCATATAAATTGAAAGAGAGACTATTAATACTTTCTTCAATTAACACTCTAAACATTTCATTGTTGCATTTAAACCGGGTGTGGGTGTGGGTGTGGATAGATATAAGAGCTAAACCCATATCTACCCACACCCTCAGCCACCCACTCACACCCACACCCACACCCACACCCACACCCACACCTGCACCCACACCCACACCTGCACCCACACCCACACCCACATCCTGATTTCAATGCAAGAACCAAGGATTTCCACAGAACCTACGATTTTCTGGATGTTGACCAGTGTGAGGCAATCTCAGAAACATCTAAATACGAAGTTTCTTAATGATTTTGAGTTATTTTTAATGAATAGAATATATCTAAATTTGTCAAGGTTTTGGAATCCTTGCATAGAAACGGCGTGGGGTCATACTGGGTTTGGTCAGATACATATATTTTGTTGATAATTAGAGTACATTTTATTATAATTTTCGAAAAGAATTTCAAGAATTACGGCGTCACTTCTTTCTGTAGGATGACTGTAATGTTGACAATATAAAAGAATTTTTTTTTGATTTCGGAATCCTTTACTTATTGGATTCGATATTGAATTTTTGTACTCGATCATTTCCCAAATCGACGACATAGAGATTGCCGTCTCGATCAAATGACAAACCGATGGGCCAATTGAGTTGGTTCGATTGTCCTCCTTTACCGTTTCCACCAACAATGACACTTCCCTGTGTGGCTCCTTGGGGCCAACGCATGATTCGATCATTCCCCCAATCAGCCACATAGACAGTGCCCAATGGATCGACAACGACTCCTTGAGGAGATGACAATTGTGTAAGACCATCTCCTTTTCCTTGACCACCAGCCACAACAATGCCTTGTTTTGCACCTTCTATCCATTTCATCACACGATCATTTCCATAATCAGACACATATACTGAATGATCCTGATCGACAAATACGTATCGTGGGGAAGAGAGTTGATCGAGATGATTTTCTCCTCCATTGCCACCTGCAACCACTATTCCTTGAGATTCTCCTCTTCGGTATCGTCTCACTTCATCTTTTCCAGTGTCAACGACATAGAGAGATCCATTCTCATCCATTGTCAAACCCAAACAATTGATGTTAGAGATGATTGTTTCTCCACTTGTTCCATTACGACGAGACCATCGAACCACTCTTCTATTCGCATAATCGGAGATGATGAGACTATCACTCTCTTTGTCGACAATCATATCTAATGGGCTAGATAACTGATGATCCCCACTTCCTTGTCCATTTCCACCTGCAACCACTTGGCCACTCGTTGCACCCCATTTCCATTCCACAATACGGTGATTCGCCGTATCAGCAACGTAGATTGTTTGATCATCATCAACATACAAATCCCAAGGGCTTGAGAGTTGATTGGTTCCATTGTCTTCTCGATTTCCTCCAGCTACAGTGATACCGTTTTGTTGCCATCGAGCATTTGGATGAATGTCAATGGAACTTCCACCTAATGGATAGACTGAAATAGAGAGAAAGGAGAGAATAAAATGATAAAATAAGAGAGAGGGAGAGAATAGAGAGAGAAAAAAGTGAAAAGTTCATTTGAATTTTTGCCAAATCAACATTGTTCTCAATTTTGGCTCATTTCCAATTTTTCCTTTTGATAATGGAAGTGGTGCTATCAAAAAATTATTTATTTATTTTTTCTTTTCTTTTTGGTTTTCTTTATTACTTAATTTATTATAAAATAACTATTGATAGATGTCTTTCTTTTTTTGTCTGGTACTACATAGATTATATCAATTTACTGATACATGGTTGAAAAAAACAAAACGTTTTGTTTTTTCTCAACCATCTTTGATCTTATATTTGAATTAGTGGCCTTTAGAAAAGATTTTGCGTAGAGTTGAAATATCTTCAGAGACTATATGAATCTATTGAAATATAAGTCATCCTAATTTATGAATCATTAATATACAAATAAATAAAGTCCTTTTTTTGCTTGGAAAGAAAAATACAGAGATCACGGTAGTCATTCTGTTACAAATAATGAATTTTTTTTTAGGCTTATGAAAGATATAATTTATGAGTATGCATATATATAGAAAACATTGGAATCTCACATTCTTTTATCGACTAATAGACTGAGTGTGAGAGAGAGAGTCATGAATAATAGAAAAAAAACTAATTAAAAAGAATTAATGAAAAGAAAAAATATCTTCATCATATTCATATTGATTTTAATAGAATCACCTTTTCTTTATATATGATTGGATATTAATAATTTCATGAGAGAACATTCAATTATTTACTATACTGCTTTGTTTTTTTTTAAGTTCAAACGAACTCGGAATTTTCCCGATAGATTAAGAAAAAAACAGAATAAAAGAATTCCTATTTCTACATGTATATTACAAAAAGAAAAAGAAGAAGAAGAATATCAGAAGTTGAAACTATTTCACATTATTTTTCTTAGGAATTTTTTTTCTCTCTATATGTTCGTTCAATGTATGTTAAAGAAAAAATTCTAGACAAAAAAAGAAATTTCTTCAGACTACACAACTGAAATTTCTCCATTGTTTTTTTATTTTCTTTGGGTTTTTCATATTTATCTGGAAAATCACATGCTCATTAGAATTTATTTTGTTTTGTCATTATGTAGTTCTTCTAGAGTCGATTGTTATAATACGTTTATTTTTTACATGTTTTTAGATGTAGAAACAGCAAAAATAATATGGCTTGTCCCGCTAACGGCCAACCAGCATGATTAAAGTGGAATCTGATAATATCCTATTATAGGGTACACTTTACTGTGTTAGGAAACATAATTTATTTTATCTTTTCTTCTAGTGAGTGGAAAAATTATATACAAAACAGGTTTGATATGATTGTTTGAAAATTTTCGTTCGTTTCCGTAGGTTTGAAGGGAACGATAGAAAAGAAGCGAGAATGCAAATCAAAACTAACTGTTAACACATGTTCTAACAATACGAAATAAAGACTTTCTTTTCACATAATTTTCATCTGATCCATGGTTATTGTAAGAAGGTGGTAGTAGTAGTTACCTTAAAACTTGATAAATTCTTACGTGAGTGCATTACTAAAAAGAGCTCTTAGTTTATTTTATGCTGAAGTGACACATTATTTTTTCAAAGCACTCAAGATTCTTCGTTAACTTTCCATAGACTGTCTCGTGGTAGACTTTTTTTCTATTTTTCTTTTCTATTAAGAAAAAAAAAATGGTACATAAGGTACTGACGCAGCCGTCATTTTAGCATATAATGCTTTTTTGATCTTATAATTAATATTACTCTGTTATTAGCCATTATACCTCTTTCTCATTAGATTTGATAACGATTGAATGACTTTTTCAGTCACACAAAAGTAAAAACCTTAAGATAAATATTGTCTATAATTGTATTTATGCGAGGAAGAACTTCCAAAATTCAGTGAAGAATATGGTGGATACTAGAAGATAGGATATGAAATTTAGAGTAACTACTGGATCAAATATCGTCACTTTTGGACAGACGCTCTTTTACATTAGTATTCCATGTTTCTCATTTTAAACATGATCAGTAACTTTTAGGATGTCAACAAAAATATGTTACGCACTAATAGTAAAACTATCCAAAAGTGCCTAAATATTAATGGATTATATTTGAATAGTTAGGCTGAAGACAGTGACGCGCGCTTTGAAAAGAAAGAAAGAAATATTTGTTCCAAAGATATAAGGATTAACTAGATATTTAAGGATGAGAATTCGAAAAGAAATGAGTGCATTCCATCAATATTCCGACTATGTTATGCAAACAACATTATTGTAAAAAAGAATTGCTGGCATAAATAGACCCTATCTATCGATGTAATATTGTTCTTAACTATAAATCTTTTTTGTTTTCGGATTCACCGAAACTTTGGCAATCTGATACTACCAGAGAAGAAAGTTCTTTGTATCGATACAGTACTAATATGTAATTTCTCTTCTTGGACAACTAGTATAAAATCAATGGATGCGAAATCTATTCAAATTAAGTCTCATCCCAGGGTTAATAGATGGTCTAAATTCTTCAGGTTCCTGTTAATTTCTGTGAGAAATTCGATTCAAAGTTAAAAGTAAAAAGTTCATTGTTATCCTTGAACAAAAAAAAGAATGACATGTGGAGTTGCGCTTTATACTTTACAAATACATTATAGCATTCTGAAAAACTACATGGAAGATGTTCGTTTTTTAACTGCTCCTTCTGTTAAACTCTGAGAGACACAGTGATCTGTCTTTATATTTCAACATGAAGACATTTGAAATTTTGAAAATGAAAGAATAATAAGCTTTCTATACTCTAACAAGTAGAAAAGAAAGCACTAAGTCCTCGAGAATATATGGTCAGAACACGAAAAGTGAGTGTATTACCGCAATATTTATAGTATAACTTTTCAGCAACACTACAAGTTTCGAAACTATTTTTTCGCATTAAGAGGTCTAACTATCCTCTATAAATTACAGTTAAGCCGATGTATTTAAAATTCAAGAATTCACAGAAATTTTGAAAATTTTCGTATCACCCAGACGACGGAGGGCCTTTTTTGTGAGTGCGTTACCAGAATGTATTTTTAGTATAAAAAGTAAACCACAAAATCAATTTGCATGAAACTCACAGATCTTGAAGTATTTTATTATATATGCATGTACTGCAAATTTGAAGACTCTACACTTTGTTGTTACTAAGGAAATTGGGTCGAAAGTTGACAAAACGTGAGTGCATTACCTGCGGACAAGCCGAATATCATGACAAAGAGTTCAAGACACAAAAAAGCACAGTATTATCCTGAATATTTTTAGTCATAAGTCATTATCCTTTTCAGAAACCTAAAATATTCGTTAAGAGAAATCTACGCTTAGCTCACATTTTGGACTTGACAAGGTTCGTTTTTCGGAGCTGCAATTTTCAGCGGTAACTAATCCTAATGCAAAAACATGCTGTTCTTTTTATTGATCATAAAAAAATTCAGTTCCATAAATTGAACTAGACTAAAGTTTGAAGTTATTGATAGATGATTTATACCTTACACTGAGAATTTCTTAAGACTATGTCATTATAAAAGCTATAGAATTTGGGGTTGTTTCTAATTCAAAAGTCAACATTATAGTGAACAAATTTTTCGACACAAAAAAGTAAAATTTTGATAATTATTGTCATTTATTTTCTATTTTATCATTTTTTTATTGGACTTACGCTTTAAAATTAGACCAACAAGAAAAGATCTTATCCTTTCAAGATTTAATCCTACTTTTCTCAGTCCCAAAAATTAAAAATATAAAAATATATGATCTTACAAAAAATTTACTCATACTTGAAGTTTTAAAAATAATAAAAACAAAAGGATGTGTTTTTTATATCTTTAATCATTTGAGAGAAGTTTTTATATTTTTTTTTTATTTACCTCCAAAATATCTTGTTGTGAGTGAAACATCTTATTCAAGCGTAATATTGTTACTTTTTTGGACACACTTTTTATTAATTATCTTCGAAACTGTGACAGCTAGAATGTTTGTGTGTTACCTACTACTACTATTACATGGCAAGACTCTGAATTTGAAGTACTCTTACTTAAGTTTTAATTTCTTGCGAAAGTTGATCTCACAATGAAATGCTTACCTGGAACAAATTTTTGTAGAGCATCGAACACACTTTTTAAATTACAAAAAAAGTTGTTTCATCTAGGTATTGTTGTTACTCGTAGAAGACAACTGATAATGCAAACGTCGTAATACTGTTACACCTTTTTAATTTTCATGAGATTATAAACATCTTCTTTTTTATTGGATCTATTGGGTTGATGCAAAAGTCTCCGCCGATTTTTTTAAAAATTTCTTAAAGCCCTCTAGTGCTACTATGCTTTCGTGATTTTCATACATATGATACCGCTTGTGTAGTACTATAAAATGACATTGGTTAATGTCCCAATTTATTTACATTCTTCATTAAAATATGTCAGAGATTCCTATTCATTTTCGACACTGCATTTTGTATGAGTTCCAATTAGGGAACAATGCAAGTGCAGCTGCCCGCAATATATGTGCTGCACTTGGTGAAGGTGCTGTTGCTGATCGAACGTGTCGAGATTGGTTTAAAAGATTTCGTGAAGGTGACATGTCATTAGAAGATCGTCCGAGATCTGGACGCCCTCTCGAGTCTAATATTGAACGATTCAAAGTCCTGATCGAAGACAATCCACGATTAACCACCCATGAATTGTCAGCACTGCTCGGGTGCGACCAATCCACCATTGATCGCCATTTGCGTAAAATGGAAAAAGTTAATAAACTTGGAACATGGGTTCCACATCAATTAACCTCGGACAACGTACAGCAAAGAATCACCATATGCAATTCTTTGTTGACAAAACGCAACCGACATAGATTTCTTCAGCAGATAGTTACTGGTGATGAAAAGTGGGTTCTATATTTCAACCATACGCGCAAGCGCCAGTGGGTAAATCCTGAAGATTTGCCCGAAACAGAACCAAAAAACGACCTGCACCCGAAAAAGGTGATGCTCTCAATTTGGTGGGATTTTCAAGGTATTATTTACTGGGAACTCCTTCCGCCTAACACTACCGTAGACTCGAAGCTGTACTGCAAACAACTTCAAAATCTGAAGATTGCATTGTAAGCAAATCGTCCTGAAAAACGAAAAGTTCGACTACTTCATGACAATGCAAAACCTCATACGGCTAAGGTTACTCGCCAAAAGCTGGAAGAATTAGGCTAGGAGGTCCTACCTCATCCACCATATTCACCAGACTTGGCATCATCTGACTATCATTTGTTTCGATCGCTCCGAAATCATCTGGTCAAAAAACACTTCGATGATCAAGCCTACCTAAAATCGGACCTCGAAACTTATTTTTTGCCTTTGTCTATGAAGTTCTTTGAAGATGGTATTCTGGATTTGCCTAAAAGATGGGAGTATGTAATAGATAACAACGGTGTATATGTTGTTGATTGATGACATTTTGTTTCAATAAAATCTCGAAACCGAGAAGAAGAAAAAAATCGGCGGAGACTTTTGCATCAACCCAATAGATTCATCGGAATAGACTAGTTTTTTTCTAACTTCTACATAAATATTTCTACTACTCTTATCACTAAAGATCGCCTCAACATCTAGAGGCACTCCTTAGGTCGTCATTATGGCGCTCAAAATTTCTTGTTTTCAGTATAAAATGTATTTCTTCTATAAGTTAAAAACACATTCACACTCGGAATAGTTTCAACTGCTCGATTGCTTTTGAATTTGGATTCTGTTGCATAATATAGACCCCATTGAGACAAGCAAAAACCTCAAAAACGCTAAATGTCTTGTGTCCAAACTTGTAGAAATTTTACTGCAGTTTTAGCTTTTAACATCATGATATAGTATTTCGGATTGAAATTATGTCCACAAATAATTTTATTTAGGAGTAAAATATCATGAAAATTTCCGCTTAAACACAATGTTTTTCTTCCTAAGATAATAAAGTCCACGAAAATCACTCTTATCCCATAAAAGATGCTATAGAAGTTTCGGTTTTTGCAGACTTTAATACCTCATGAGCAGTTGAAAAAGCTTGTTAGCGCAGATCCATTGGGGCTGAAATGTGGAATTTACATATTCTACATAAGGTAGGATACTTAATCGCATTTAACACTGGTTGCTTGGTCTGTAATAGGGAGGGGAGTGCGCCAAAACTTCAACTTAAAACTTACATTCACTATTTTCTT